CGGGCAGTTCTATTTGACGATATATATATATATATATACCTCCTGATGAGTCGGTGAAACTCCTACGAAACAGTTTGTCACAGCCCCTCGTTTGTTGTCCTCCTCTCTCTCTCTGCCTACGGTTTACCGGGCAGTTCTGTTTGTGACAATATATATATATGTCACAGCCCCTCGTTTGTTGTCCTCTTCTCTCTCTCTGCCTACGGTTTACCGGGCAGTTCTGTTTGTGACGAAACCGTAGGCAGAGAGAGAGAAGAGGACAACAAACGAGGGGCTGTGACAAACTGTTTCGTAGGAGTTTCACCGACTCATCAGGAGGCTGAACCCTCAACAGTCTGCAGAATCCCCTCACTGATTACACTGTAAATGATAATCTACCTTAACCAAAATCAAAGTAGACTACCACTCACCCACACCACATGGAAAACTCTACAGACTGTCGGTTCACACCCCATCACAAGCCAGCAAACATCCACGAAACAAAGAAAGGTATGTCACAGCCAAAAAATACAGTCCAGACATGCCACTGGCACTAGAGGCATGAAGTATTCAAAACTGAAAGAAAATTAGACCCTAATGACGGTGAGGGCAAGGTATACAGAGTTGACGGGGTGGTTACGCTGCAATCTGGAATATTCAGGAGGCTAGGCTGTTTGGAACATCTTTTGTGACAAGATGAGAAAAGATCACGAGTATTGATTGAAGTTGCCACTGTAACTGTGCGTAAGCCTCCCAAGCCATGGTTCATAGAAACGACGGGAGATTGGAGCACCATTTTCGGTGTGCAAAATAACTGCTTTGAAGATTGCAAAAGAAAAATGGAGTTTTGGGGCTTTTTTTTTTTGGTTTTCTTTTTTTTGTTTGTTTGTTTGTTTTGTTTTGGGTTTCTGAAACCGAATAATAGAAGCCCAGGCGTCCAGGCCCAAGAGAGGTGATTAGTGAAAGCCCAGGCATCCAGGCAACCAATTGGCATAACCAATGAAGGTGTTTAGTGGAAGTCTGTGTCTTTCTCTCTCTATCTGTGTGTGCGCGTGTGCATGCATGTGTACGTGTGTGTACGTGTGTGTGTGTTAGATTGTGTCCGTTTCTGTTTCTGTTTGTGTGTGTGTGTTAGATTGTGTCCGTTTCTGTTTCTGTTTGTGTGTGTGTGTTAGA